AAATTACTGACCTCTGTCATCATTTTAAGTGGGGGAACTTGCACAATCGGTGGCTGACTAAATACTTTTTTGCCCCACTGTATATATATATATATGGTAAGGGAATGTTTTGGGTGTTGTGGAGCAAATATGAGGGCTCATTGGTTAATTTTATGTTTGCCGCTAAGCCTTGGAGTGGAAGTGCAGTGCTCAGTGTGTAACTTGTCTTGCTCAGTGACCTAAAAGATTGATTTTGTGGACAGCGCATACTGTAGTCTGAGTGATGTATGAAGTATGAGGTCCACAAATAATGGGAGCATGATGTTGTTTATCTTTTCTTTTTGTTGTTGGGTCTTGTTGTGTTTTTGTGCTTCTCAGCAGTTATTCTGCTTGTGCTTGTCAGATATGCACTGCTTCTTCAGGACCAAAGTCACCCAAGAAATTAGGGTTATACAGCAAAGATATTGGAATCAGTTATGTGTTGGTAGAGCTTGTACCTCTCTGTTGATACCCATATGGGCTCACAAGTGCTCAGAAATAATTTCAACTTTAAAATTCACTAGTAATTTTGGCGAACCGCTCCAGTGTAGGGTTTCATTCAACATTATTCAAACAGGAGCTTTCAGGAGTAAGTCGGAGTTAAAGGGCTTAACAAAAAGCAAACAAACAAAAATCATTTATGTGAACATGATTAGGTACAAGAACTGGACGGAAAATGAATGAACAAGTAGCCAAATTAAAAAAATAAAACACCTTCAGAAAGCTTTTCAGAAAGAACTATTGTTAAATTACTTTAAAAGTCTGGCTTGGAAACAAAATATGAAGAAATAATAGGAGGCTCGAGACCCTTGCGCTGTACTAACTGAAATGTTAGAAAGCATTTCTTTACTGTCCTTTTGTTTTTTCTTACATAGTTAGCAATTTCTAGCTACCAAGCCACCAATACATACTGACTAGTTGGTTAAGGAGTTGCAACAGGACACCGACTCTTAATGGCAACCATTTAAAGACAGTAACTAGAGGCATCTTGGAAGATCCAGTTACATCACATCAGAAACCTCTATGTATAAGAAGCAGATGCTTGTGATGGATGAAGGTGATGCTATCTGGAGATTTCTGCTAGAAATTGCATCTGTGTTGCAGTTATTTCATGTCTTGAATCAAACTGGCAGATACATAAGAGGACTCATGCACATAAAAGGTATTTTGCTACAGGATAATTGAAACCTGTAAAAACTAAATCTAACAATATTTTTCCTTGTTCAAAATATTATAACATGTAGCTTAAATAATGAATCCAAGGCCCCTTACAAAACAGAAGTCTTTGCATTCTTTGTTCCTCCTGGTAACGTGATGAATAAGAATGTAAATTAAACATTAAACAAAAAGTTTAATCATCTTTGACAGTGATCTTCATGGTTGTTCTTTGGTTGATGGCAAATGTGCTGAATTGTGTCACATTCCTCTTCTTAGTATTTTCAGAATTTCAGACAAGTTTGCTTCCAAACAAAAAACATATTGGTCTTTTCTTTCTCATTGATGGTTATTTCCCATTGTTGATCGTTGCCTGCAAATCCTGTCTCCTCCTACTTTGGAAGCACAGAGCAGATTGTCACTGCAGAGGCTTACCCCCCAGCACACCAACCCTTCAACCCAATCCCTTCAAATTTATCTGTGAAGAAAACACACAACAGCAGCATGAGAAGCAGAAGGGATCTCAGGAACGAAGAGAGATAAAAGAGATGAGATTGGGGCTAAAATGGAAAAGGAAGCAGGGATTATAGACAGAGAGAGATGGGATGAGAACGGATGACACAGCAAGCAGGCTGTCGGGGTGGGGGGGGACTAGCTTTCACAGGAATAATGTTATCTCTTCTTCTTTAGAGTTTGTTGTCTAATCATTTATTGTTTGCTTATCAGAGATGGAGCAGACAGTGCTCTGCCATGCTTGCACACAGCCCTACCTGCTTCAGCACACAAAAGCAAAAGATCCAGGAGTTTATTATTGTGGACACTTATCCTATTGAGAGACTTGGGATAATAAACATGACAGAACATTATCCAAGGGTTAACACTGCATACTGACACTACATACTACATACTGACAATAGCATAACCTACACAAGAAAGACAATTACATGTGTAGGAGGGTAAAAGGAGTTAACCTGA